AAGCAATCTATGTCCTTCATTACACTCGTGCATTAATTCAGCACCACCCTATTTGAAAATAAGATGTGATGGTACAGAAAATATAGGGTATGGCCATCAATTTAATCAACCTATAGTTAAAGAAGCTTTATCCATTGACAGTTTTACAAATACCATAACCTTTTTCGATTCTTTATAAAAGAATATGTTGATGAAAATGTGATGGGACTGACTTTTTACCCAAAATATCTATCCCTCTCCTGCTCAAACAACACAAGTAAGCTTTAATTATGCATAATCAGGAAGAACCCGAATGTCAAAGATTCAGATTGTTAATTAAAAAAAACTGAAAAAGGCCACATTAATAAAATTTTGGAATAAAAAAATTATGGTTTTGAGTTTATTGTATTGAATAAACACCTTTCCTTGTCGGATACTGATACTTACAGCTAAATGTCTGTTTTGTTTGTAACTTTCACTGCATTTTGAAATTCTATTATTTTTAGTTTGACTGTAACTTTTTCCTCAATCTTAGTTTACAAACTTTCATCCATTCACAATAAATAACGAATATATAGGGCACATAACAATCAATTATTATTTTCACTTTTCAAAATAAGCCAAAGTGTTTTAGAACAGAAAAACACCTGTTATAAATAAAGGCAATTATTATAATTCAAGTACATGGTAATTTCAATGATGTTTTCGTTTTGAAATGTTAACTGCCTACTCTATCAAATTATAAAGGTTATTTTTTTTTTAAGATTTTAGAATATTCATTTCAAGCAAAATTAATTAGTAAAAGTACAGGGTGGTGCACGGATGTATGTGTATACAGGTGAATCAAATTAAAATAAACAAGATTTCGAATACACATTTAAATTTGGGCTCCAGTCATTAACGTTTCAGAATGTTATGTGTTAAACCAAATTACTGGAAAGAAAATTGCTAAAAGACAATTCTCGTGTGTTACTGTTCAGTTGGGGAAAGAGTCATTGTTGCAAAATTAGGTTGGGTTTGGTTGATGTTTAACGCCGCACTCAGCAACAATATTCCAGCTATGTGGCTTCGGTCTGTACATAATGGAGTATGGACCATTCAATCCAGTGATCAACAGCATGAGCATCCATCTACCCAATTTGGATACGATGACATGTGTCAACCAAGTCAGCGAGCCTGACCACCCGATCCCGTTAGTTGCCTCTTACGACAAGCATTGGTTACTGAAGACCAGTTCTAAACAGGATCTTCTCTGGTAATGTTTTTGAATGTGTACGTTGCGTCCATGATGGAGTCTTGAACAGACAATCATGTGGTTGATATCAGGAGCATCATCGCGAGCATCAAATACATCTGTGTTGGTACATAATGATTGTTGGTAGGTTTTTGTAAATTGTGAGCACCATGAGTCAGCGTGTGTTGAATGTAACAGCGTGTGTTGAATGTAACAGCGTGTGTTGAATGTAACAGCGTGTGTTGAATGTAACAGCGTGTGTTGAATGTAACAGCGTGTGTTGAATGTAACAGCGTGTGTTGACGTACATTTGGTGATAAATCATTACGACTTTGGATGCTTTTATACTTTTGCAACAGTTACTGTATTTCCAGTTAAACAAGGCATCTTGTATAGACAGAGAACAGTTTTACCATAACCTTTGCTCCATGTGATTCCCATATAGCTGGGATATTGCTGAGTGCGGCGTAAAACTAAACTCACTCACTCCATGTGATTCAGGTAATAATGTCCACATTATATTGAAGGCACAGCTAACATGATTTTCATTGAAGCGATTCTTTCTAAAACTCGAATTGTACAGGGATGAAAATGTTCTGACGTCAAAGTTATATGATTCTGTGTTAAAATTACAATTAGTAATCAGTGTAGCTTTTGGTGATAATTGTTATAGAGATGTATCTAGGCATCTCGAATAACACTGAGACCTCAGTAGATAAATAGACACCACGTGAAGCCGTATTACTGTAATTCAGTGCATATACGCAGTGTATGAAATAAGCCAAACCCCAGCCAGACATCTGGGCTGGTAACTTGAAAAACTTACCAGCCCAGAAGAGCTTTAACCTGTCCTTCTTAAATACTAAATAGACAGTGCCAGTGGACACGTTATCAATATATATTTTTTCATCCGTCCATCGGGCTGGCTACCTGTAAAATTAGACCGTCCGGAAGAAATCTAGCCCGTGTCGGGCGGTCGGACGGGCCTTATTTCATACACTGATTACATACAGTGCATCTGTTGTTGTGTGAATGTGGAACATAGAGGCCAGCGGTGCCTTTGATCTCGCTACTTATTTATCTCCAGCACCGTGTAGTACATGATGAAGAAGCTTAGTTAATGTTGGCTATTGTTGTAAGTCGGGCAGATTTCACCCCACCGTGCATGAAATAGGGAGGTGTGGCTGAATGGGGAAGACGTGGGGATGTCTGTTTGTAAGTGTGGCGGGTTGCCCACTTGACCATATCACAAGCAATATCGAGCGCCAAACTCGGTGTTGCGCCTGATATGACACGTCACAATGACGTCATAACTCGCAGTTTAGCGCGACCGGTGTCGCTAGTCAGGGCATTTCCAGGTTGACAGTGAGATGTGTGTGTTGTGTGAGGACGATAGCGGGGTAAGTTTGTTTATCTCTATATTTTGTACTTTTAGAACCAGTAGATAAGGTTGTGAACAGAGCAGAGTGGACAACGACTACTGTAGGGATTAGGCAGCAGGTACTTGCTTTGTTAAAATGTGAATAGATACAAGCTCTTTCAGTCTTTGTGCATGGTGGGTTCATGTGTACAGTACAATATACTGTAGAAAGTTTGTGTCGAGGAGAAAAGTTCGTGGCAAATGTATGCCGTTCCTATATTTGTATGTAGACGTTATGTATGTACTTGTATGTGTACAAGTATGCTATCGTTGTGTGCCCGGGTGAACAATAACGACAGCCTCTAGATGTAGTTTCCGTTCTCCGTATCCTAGATACTTTCCATAACTTAATGTACAGAAGTTACAAGATCTTCCTGATAGGAATCACATGGACATGCAGATCTATGATGATCAATGTACACCTATGATGTGACATTGTCATCAGACTTGGTTCTATAATAATGCTACTGTGAAGACCATACAAAAGATTTCATGATCTGAGAAACTACTGACACCAGTGTATAGCCGCCACCATTACCTTCCTACAAGGTGCTCTGTTCATAAACTTCAGAAATAAAATATGCTTAGAATGCTGCATTTACATTGTACAAAAAGGGCAAAAATAATTAACGTGTGACCACGCATGTTTTGTACACTCACCGGCAACTGTTGTAGCAGCCGTGAGTGAATGCCGTTACTTGGTTGAACGTAGCAATATCTGATTTACAGGACACGACATACAACTTGTAAATACATTGTAGATGTATGAGCTGGTCAGGTTGGCAAGACAATGGTATTTACAGTTTTAAAACCTTGATTCATGTAAATGTAGACATATGGAAGTTCACACCATCACAGCTCAATGTAGAAAACACCGAATCTTGTAATTTAAAGAAATGACTCCGGAACATATATATTTTCTTTTTATAGGTCTTTCTTAACAAATACCTTTACAATATGTTTTTAACTTAACAATCTGAATCGATGAGTATCACAGGTTATGAAACAACAATAATGTTGCAGCCTTGTTGCACAAGGAATTAAGAACCATCCCTCATGAACACCTAATACCACCATACACAATAATACCACCATACACAATAATAACACCATACACAATAATACCACCATACATAATAACACCACCATACACAAAAATACCACCATACACAATAATACCACCATACACAATAATACCACCATACAATAATACCACCATACATAATAATACCACTATACACAATAATACCACCATGCACAACAATACCACCATACACAATAATACCACCATGCACAATAATACCACCATGCACAACAATACCACCATATATAATAATACCACCATGGACAACAATACCACCATACACAACAATACCACCATAAACAATAATACCACCATGCACAATAATACCACCATACACAATAATACCACTATGCACAATAATACCACCATACACAATAATACCACCATACACAAAAACACCACCATACACAACAATACCACCATACACAATACTACCACCATACACAACAATACCACCATACACAATAATACCACCATACACACACAATACTATACACACACAATACCACCATGCACAACAATTATACCACTGTACACACAATAATACCACCATACACAATAATACCACTATTCATAATAATACCACCATACACAATAATACCACCATACACAATAATACCACCATACACAATAATACCACTATACACAAAAATACCACCATACACAATAATACCACCATACACAATAATACCACCATACACAATAATACCACCATAAACAATAATACCACCATACACAATAATACCACCATACACAATAATACCACTATACACAATAATACCACCATACACAATAATACCACTATACACAATAATACCACCATGCACAACAATACCACCATACACAACAATACCACCATACACAATAATACCACCATACACAATAATACCACCATACACAACAATACCACCATACACAATAATACCACCATACACACTAATACCACTATACATAATAATACCATCGACATGACATATTCTGTGTTGAAGTCTTCTACATGATATATTCTGTGTTAAAGTCTTCCACATGACATATTATGTGTTGAATTATTCGACATGACATATTCTGTGTTGAAGTCTTCTTCATGACATATTCTATGTTGAAATCTTCTTCATGACATATTCTGTGTTGAAGTGTTCTACATGACATATTCTGTGTTGAAGTATTCTACATGACATATATTCTGTGTTGAAGTCTTCTACATGACATATTCTGTGTTGAAGTGTTCTACATGACATATATTCTGTGTTGAAGTGTTCTACATAACATATTCTGTGTTGCAGCCTGGAGACGGATGGAAGCACGGAGACCTGGACCTACACAGAAGTCTGATGTACCCGGTAGGTGGGGGTATATTGTGTACCAGATGTGATAGTCGCACGTCGCACTGAGTATACATGGTATCAGGTTATAAGATCTGCCAGAAAGCTTTGTCCTTTCTAAAAACAATCCCGGTGTCATCTACCGGAAAGCTGTGTGGCTTTCAAAAGTTATCCTTTATAGAAATTAACTCTATGCATTCAGCTTATTGATGTATATCTTATATATCTGTAGTGTGACATCTTCGGTGATAAATGTAAACAAGATAACAACTCTGAGAATGTAATGTAATGTTATGAAATGTAATGTAATGAATCTGGTGTTCATTCTAACCCTCCTGTTTGTCTCCACAGCCACGATCAAAGAGGGGGACACACGGAAGTATGGAACCCGCTCCAGACCTGACACACGAGGTGGGTGGAGACAATGTCACGTGTGTTGTAGTTGGCAGACCACTCTCCACACACACACAAAACTGTGTTAGAACTGTTAGATGACATTCTAATTATGTAAATAACCAACGTGTAAAAACATGAGCCAGTTCTTGTGATTCCCTGTACCCCCGCCATGTTGCTGTCAGTTCCTGTGATCCCTGTACACCCGCCATGTTGCTGTCAGTTCTTGTGATTCCCTGTACACCCGCCATGTTGCTGTCAGTTCTTGTGATTCCCTGTACACCCGCCATGTTGCTGTCAGTTAGTATGATCCCTGTACACCCGCCATGTTGCTGTCAGTTCTTGTGATTCCCTGTACACCCGCCATGTTGCTGTCAGTTCTTGTGATTCCCGGTACACCCGCCATGTTACTGTCAGTTCTTCTGATTCCCTGTACACCCGCCATGTTGTTGTCAGTTCTTGTGATTCCCTGTACACCCGCCATGTTGCTGTCAGTTCTTGTGATTCCCTGTACACCCGCCATGTTGCTGTCAGTTCTTGTGATTCCCTGTACACCTGCCATGTTGCTGTCAGTTCTTGTGATTCCCTGTACACCTGCCATGTTGCTGTCAGTTAGTATGATCCCTGTACACCCGCCATATTGTTGTCAGTTCTTGTGATTCCCTGTACATACATACATACATACATACTAACATTTGTATAGCGCCGATATCCAGCTCAGCTCAGCTGCTCAAAGGCGCTTTGTTTTCCCCTCGTTCACTGGATGTCAATCTCAACGGCACATCGTATTGTCAATCTCAACTCCCTTGGGAGCATACAACTCTTGCAGCCACTAGGCGCACCGAGTTAATGGGGCATTCCCATCCTTACGAGGTACCCATTCACAGCTGGGTGGACTGGGACACATAGTCACAGTACTTTGTCCAAGTTTGCTGCACGTTGCTGTACCCGCAACTGGGTGTTTGCACGTATTCATGTGGCCACCATCTGGTCATATACCAACGGATTCGTGGGTTCTTTTAAGTGCACAGGGTTGTGTACTGTACACTAGGGGTTGTGACAACACTGAAAGAGTCTGCACACAAAGTTGACTCCAAGGTTTTTACACCCGGTCACAGGTGGGCTCGATCCCGTCACCTCACGCTCGCTGGATCACTAGCCTGGCGCTTTAGCCAGTTCGCCCACCGCGCCCCCTGTACACCCGCCATGTTGTTGTCAGTTCTTGTGATTCCCTGTACACCCGCCATGTTGTTGTTAGTTCTTGTGATTCCCTGTACCCCCGCCATGTTGCTGTCAGTTCGTGTGATCCCTGTACACCCGCCATGTTGCTGTCAGTTCTTGTGATTCCCTGTACACCCGCCATGTTGCTGTCAGTTCTTGTGATTCCCTGTACACCCGCCATGTTGCTGTCAGTTCTTGTGATTCCCTGTACACCCGCCATGTTGCTGTCAGTTAGCACGATCCCTGTACACCCGCCATGTTGCTGTCAGTTCTTGTGATTCCCTGTACACCCGCCATGTTGTTGTCAGTTCTTGTGATTCCCTGTACACCCGCCATGTTGTTGTTAGTTCTTGTGATTCCCTGTACACCCGCCATGTTGCTGTCAGTTCTTGTGATCCCTGTACACCCGCCATGTTGCTGTCAGTTCTTGTGATTCCCTGTACACCCACCATGTTGCTGTCAGTTCTTGTGATTCCCTGTACACCCGCCATGTTGCTGTCAGCCATACTGCATGTATAGATGATGTACAAGTGTTTTGTATCATCAGTGTAAGATGTGAACAATGTAGCTGTAAGATGAAGATGTCCGACCTGTGTAGAGAGTTTACTTTGTGTTACAGCGACACCGACACCCGCACGGAGAGACGCCCGGGCAGACGCCGACCTCCATGCCGCCTGCAGGGAGGGGAACCTGGCGGAGGTGAAGCGGATCCTGGACACAGGTCGGGCTGACATCAACTGTAGAGGTGTGCTCGGGATGACACCGGTGATGGAGGCAGCGCAGTGGGGACACAGGGATGTGGTGGAGTTCCTTGTGAGTCGAGGTGCTGATGTGTCACTGGTGGACGATGACGGTGACAACACCCTTCACTGGGCCTGTCGGGGAGGAGACAGGAAGACAGTGGAGTTTGTCCTGTCTCTGGACGAGCTGGACATCAACAGTAGAGGAGATGGGAGTTGGACACCGGTGATGAGGGCAGCATGGCTGAGACACAGGGATATGGTGAAGCTCCTTGTGAGTCGAGGTGCTGATGTGTCACTGGTGGACGATTACGGTGACAACACCCTTCACTGGGCCTGTGTTGGAGGAGACAGGGAGATAGTGGAGTTTGTCCTGTCTCTGGACGGGATGGACATCAACGCCAGGAACAACGACGGGAAGACAGCGGCTGACGTGGCGAGAGACGGGCGACGTCATCAACTGTCGGATCTCCTGGTGTCACGTGGTACACAGTGAAGTGAATGTAGTGTTGATGTAGACAGTGATGGAGGACAGGTCGTTACTGACACTGACGTGGTGTGTGCCGTTCACGACGTCACGTTGTTTATAATTCAGTATGAAGGTGAGAATATTTGTTGTGTTTGAGGAGAAATAAAACTTGTTGAGAACATTTTCAGACATTTTGTTGTTTATGGAACTTTACAGAAACAGGTTAGGATATTGTTGACTGTGAATATTGATGATATGTCGTCGGTACATGAACCCCGCATCTCGTTATGTAGTTCTGTTATAATTATGTGTCATAAGTTTATCATTAATCGTGAGGCAGACAACAACAAACTGTTTGTTTACATCTCGCTGCACTCTGTGACCTCAGACTGAGCCGAGGCTCGCCAACTGGCGTGGCGCCAAATGTACAGTGACGTCACATTGCTGATGACGTCACGGTGTTGTGGTCGTGACCAGCTGTTTTCTGTGCCAAGTGTTACACTGCCGCACACTGCTGGCTTGATGACAGGGTTACTGTATCACCTGTATAGAACAACACAGTCATCCGCTGTTCATTGTTCTGTGTTCAAGGGGCGGTAGGGAATCCTAATGGTTAAATCACGACAAACACCCGGGCTCGATTCCCACATGGGTACAATGAAGCCCATTTCTGGTGTCCCCTACTGTGATATTACTGGAATGTTGATAAAAGCGGCTTAAAACTAAGCTCACCCACACACTCAATCTTCAAGGATTAGCGTTTCAGTCGGTTATATAAAAATAGTTTTCTCGGGTTTTTTTTCGACTTAAGTTTTTCGGTCATATACATAAATAAACTAACCCTAGATATTTTTTTTCTCTGACGCACATTTTGATAAGGTCTGAATCTTTGTGGGAGAATTGCGTTTGAGGGGCGTTGTTTTGCTTGTTTGTTCTTTGACGCCGCACTCAGCAATATTCCGGGTATATGTTGGCGGGCTGGACCAGACAATCCAGTGACTGACATCATGAGCATCGCTCTAGGCAGTTGAGATATGATGACATGTGTCGGTATGGACTTTCAGATACAAATCATCAAAAATGCAAATTCAACTTATAAAGTTGAAACATAACGTGATGAAACAAAACCCCGCGAAATCGAAGTTTAAAAATTCGCTAATTTCACCCCAGCTTCAGGTGAAAAGTGGTTTCAACAGCTGTGCTGGACTGCGCTCATTGCGCATGCGCAGTGAATAGGTTCGCGCAGCTTGGAAGCGGGATGTCCGAATGATAAGGCTGTGAGCAGGAGTAGTCTAATCAAAACAAATAGTAAATAATCTACTCGTTACATAAAAGAACCTTGGTAGGATCTAGATCTACTCAGGTATGTGTCAACCAGTGAGGCGTTCCACGTTTCAAGACGGAAAAACTTCGCTGGCGGTGAATACTCAATGAAGGCTTTGGTGTGAGCTATTTTACTGATGTTTTGTTGATATTTCACAGGCGCGAGCTTTTTATATGTTATGACAGTAGATTACAGATTCAGCTGTTTATATAATTTCATTTGTCTATTTCACAACACGTTCTTCTTACCGAGACACTTTCTCAGTTCGATACTTAAAATCAATGTCATTATTTTGCAATGACAGAATGTCTAACTGTGATATAGATATGCCTCTGTCACAGACAAAACTCAATGTCTGTTTTATTGACACCTATGTGTCTGCCTGCCTGTCTGCTAATGACAGTATGCAACTTCGATCACTGACCACATGCAATTAGAACTTAACACCTATCAGGCTATACACAATAAACAAAACGCATTTATTTATGGCTCGTGCACCCGAGTTCGGTCTCTGTCACATTATGTATTAGAGAGGTACAGATAAGCTGCGTATCTGCGTAAATTACGCAAATATTTATGTGAAAACTCAATTCCTATTAAGTCTATTGCGTACAAGTACGCTTGAATTTTTGTAAATACTCAATAAATGTGACACGATGTGAAAACTACTTTAGACGGTAACGGCGCATTTCTAAAAGTAACCGCTTCCAGTAATTATCAACTCTACGTATATATTCAATGTATGGCAAGTTTTATATAAGATTTTCTGCGGCTGCTCATTTCGTTGCTGGGCATAACCAACACCATATCGAACATATTTATTATTCAAACATATATCTGTTATGTTGTCACAGTATTTTTCTTTTGTTGTCAAATTATTTCAGTTATGTATCCAGCTATTGGAACAATGTACTGGAGTTGCGTTTATATAAGCCACTACGTTTGTTCGCCTATCCAGGTTTCTTTGACGAAATAAAAATGTGTTTAAACCAAATATATATACTGTGCCGACAGTGATTGGAAATGGGCATCCCATAGCTGATAATCGGATTGCAGAATGTTTAGATAGTAAATACATCTACTGTGCCGACAGTGATTGGAAAGGGCATCCCAATTTAGCGTGAAAACATCGCAACCTTTGATGTTTTAAGTACATTTACTCAACTGAAATCAAATTCAAATGCCACATCTGTGACATCAGCCACTGGAGTTGTGACACATGAACACTGAGTAAAATTGGGTGGTGTAAAGTAAATATAAAAATAAATTTTCCCTAATTGTGTTACTGTAAAGTGTAGAAGATACTGGGATAAGTTTAAGGCTTAAGTTTGTCGGATACAAACATCTGACATAAATATGCACGGATTTTGAGAATGATTCATATGTTGATATAATCTTGCTAATGTTATAATGATATGAAATAAAACATAAGTCAACGTCATACTTTGTTTTATATAAGGTGCCGTTTTAGCCCAGAAATCAGTAGCCGTTTTCACCAATATGGTGCCGTTTTCGCCAAACAAATTTAATGCCGTTCTGCTGTCGTGCAGTTTTAGCTATAACCCCAGGCAGATATGATACTTGTAGACATGACTTGTTATTGCAAAATGTTATACACAAAAAATGAGCATGTATTTACAAAACCCAACATCTCTATATACCCACACACATTTGAGCCGTGAGACGCATCATTCAGAATACGACTGTTTGTATACATCATCTATACTGTGTGACACAGGCAAAACAACATGTTTCAACATGAATGTACTGAAACCTCCTGTCACAGCGAGTGGAATGTCTGTATGTACTGAAACCTCCTGTCACGGCGAGTGGAATGTCTGAATGTACTGAAACCTCCTGTCACGGCGTGTCGAATGTCTGAATGTACTGAAACCTCCTGTCACGGCGAGTGGAATGTCTGTATGTACTGAACCCTCCTGTCACGGCGAGTGGAATGTCTGTATGTACTGAAACCTCCTGTCACGGCGAGTGGAATGTCTGAATATACTGAATCCTCCCGTCACGGCGAGTGGAATGTCTGAATGTACTGAAACTTCCTGTCACAGAGAGTGGAATGTCTGTATGTACTGAAACCTCCTGTCACGGCGAGTGGAATGTCTGAATGTACTGAAACCTCCTGTCACAGCGAGTGGAATGTCTGTATGTACTGAAACCTCCTGTCACGGCGAGTGGAATGTCTGAATGTACTGAAACCTCCTGTCACGGCGAGTGAAATGTTTGTATGTACTGAAACCTTCCGTCACGGCGTGTCAAATGTCTGAAAGTACTGAAACCTCCTGTCACGGTGAGTGGAATGTCTGAATGTACTGAAACCTCCTGTCACGGCGAGTGAAATGTCTGAATGTACTGAAACCTCCTGTCACGGCGAGTGGAATGTCTGAATGTACTGAAACCTCCTGTCACGGTTTGTGGAATGTCTGAATGTACTGAAACCTCCTGTCACAGCGAGTGGAATGTCTGAATGTACTGAAACCTCCTGTCACGGCGAGTGGAATGTCTGTATGTACTGAAACCTCCCGTCACAGCGAGTGGAATGTCTGAATGTACTGAAACCTCCTGTCACGGCGAGTGGAATGTCTCAATGTACTGAAACCTCCTGTCACGGCGAGTGGAATGTCTGAATATACTGAATCCTCCCGTCACGGCGAGTGGAATGTCTGAATGTACTGAAACTTCCTGTCACAGAGAGTGGAATGTCTGTATGTACTGAAACCTCCTGTCACGGCGAGTGGAATGTCTGAATGTACTGAAACCTCCTGTCACAGTGAGTGGAATGTCTGTATGTACTGAAACCTCCTGTCACGGCGAGTGGAATGTCTGAATGTACTGAAACCTCCTGTCACGGCGAGTGAAATGTTTGTATGTACTGAAACCTTCCGTCACGGCGTGTCGAATGTCTGAAAGTACTGAAACCTCCTGTCACGGTGAGTGGAATGTCTGAATGTACTGAAACCTCCTGTCACGGCGAGTGAAATGTCTGTATGTACTGAAACCTCCTGTCACGGCGAGTGGAATGTCTGAATGTACTGAAACCTCCTGTCACGGTTTGTGGAATGTCTGTATGTACTGAAACCTCCTGTCACAGCGAGTGGAATGTCTGAATGTACTGAAACCTCCTGTCACGGCGAGTGGAATGTCTGAATGTACTGAAACCTCCTGTCACGACGAGTGAAATGTCTGAATGTACTGAGACCTCCTGTCACGGCGAGTAGAATGTCTGAATATACTGAAACCTCCTGTCACGGCGAGTGAAATATCTATATGTACTGAAACCTCCTGTCACGGTGAGTGAAATGTTTGAATGTACTGAAACCTCCTGTCACGGCGAGTGGAATGTCTGAATGTACTGAAACCTCCTGTCACGGTGAGTGGAATGTCTGAATGTACTGAAACCTCCTGTCACGGCGAGTGAAATGTCTGTATGTACTGAAACCTCCTGCCACGGCGAGTGGAATGTCTGTATGTACTGAAACCTCCTGTCACGGCGAGTGGAATGTCTGAATGTACTGAAACCTCCTGTCACAGCGAGTGGAATGTCTGAATGTACTGAAACCTCCTGTCACGGCGAGTGGAATGTCTGTATGTACTGAAACCTCCTGTCACGGCGTGTCGAATGTCTGAAAGTACTGAAACCTCCTGTCACGGCGAGTGGAATGTCTGAATATACTGAAACCTCCTCTCACGGCGAGTGGAATGTCTGAATGTACTGAAACCTCCTGTCACGGCGAGTGGAATGTCTGTATGTACTGAAACCTCCTGTCAGGGCGAGTGGAATGTCTGAATGTACTGAAACCTCCTGTCACGACGAGTGAAATATCTGAATGTACTGAAACCTCCTGTCACGGCGAGTGAAGTGTCTGTATGTACTGAAACCTCCCGTCACGGCGAGTTGAATGTCTGTATGTACTGAAACCTCCTGTCACGCCGAGTGGAATGTCTGAATGTAATGAAACCTCCTGTCACGGCGAGTGGAATGTCTGTATGTACTGAAACCTCCTGTCACAGCGAGTGGAATATCTGAATGTACTGAAACCTCCTGTCACAGCGAGTGGAATGTCTGACTGTACTGAAACCTCCCGTCACAGCGAGTGGAATGTCTGAATGTACTGAAACCTCCTGTCACGGCGAGTGGAATGTCTGAATGTACTGAAACCTCCTGTCACGGCAAGTGGACTGTCTGAATGTACTGAAACCTCCTGTCACGGCGAGTGGACTGTCTGAATGTACTGAAACCTCCTGTCACGGCGAGTGGACTGTCTGAATGTACTGAAACCTCCTGTCACGGCAAGTGGACTGTCTGAATGTACTGAAACCTCCCGTCAAGGCAAGTGGACTGTCTGAATGTACTGAAACCTCCTGTCACGGCGAGTGGAATATCTGAATGTACTGAAACCTCCCGTCACAGCGAGTGGAATGTCTGAATGTACTGAAACCTCCTGTCACGGCGAGTGGAATGTCTGAATGTACTGAAACCTCCTGTCACGGCGAGTGGAATGTCTGTATGTACTGAAACCTCCTGTCAAGGCAAGTGGAATGTCTGAATGTACTGAAACCTCCTGTCACGGCAAGTGGACTGTCTGAATGTACTGAAACCTCCTGTCACGGCGAGTGGAATGTCTGAATGTACTGAAACCTCCTGTCACGGCGAGTGGAATGTCTGAATGTACTGAAACCTCCTGTCACAGCGAGTGGAATGTCTGAATGTACTGAAACCTCCTGTCACGGCGAGTGGAATGTCTGAATGTACTGAAACCTCCTGTCACGGCAAGTGGACTGTCTGAATGTACTGAAACCTCCTGTCACGGCAAGTGGACTGTCTGAATGTACTGAAACCTCCTGTCACGGCAAGTGGACTTTCTGAATGTACTGAAACCTCCTGTCACGGCAAGTGGACTGTCTGAATGTCCTGAAATCTCCTGTCACGGCGAGTGGAATGTCTGTATGTACTGAAACCTCCCGTCACAGCGAGTGGACTGTCTGAATGGACTGAAACCTCCTGTCACGGCAAGTGGAATGTCTGTATGTACTGAAACCTCCTGTCACGGCAAGTGGAATGTCTGAATGTACTGAAACCTCCTGTCACGGCGAGTAGACTGTCTGTATGTACTGAAACCTCCTGTCACGGCAAGTGGAATGTCTGAATGTACTGAAACCTCCTGTCACGGCGAGTGGACTGTGTGAATGTACTGAAACCTCCTGTCACGGCAAGTGGACTGTCTGAATGTACTGAAACCTCCTGTCACGGCGAGTGGAATGTCTGTATGTACTGAAACCTCCTGTCACGGCGAGTGGAATGTTTTGGGGATGTGTTAGCTACAGTGGTATAGGTGAACTGGTTCCAGGTGAAGGACATTTCTACTCAGCAAAGTACATTGATACAAATTTGTGGCCTGTTGTAGCCATGAAATTTGCGGACAACCCCCTGGATATTTCAGGACGACAATGCGCCTGTACACCGGTCTCGGGAGAAACCAATAATAATATCCCATGAATGGACTGGCCTGCACAATCCCTAGTCATTAGCATCATAGAAAATATGTGGAGATGTGTTAAAATTAAACCCCAGAATGCCTATGAAAACATCAACTCCCGTGATGATTTGATAGCTGCGGTACAGCGGATCTGGACCACTCTCCCACACGTCTATATTCGAAGATTATACCAATCAGTCCCTAAAAGAATCCCAAGTGTCATAATCCAGAAGGGTTATTTTACAAAATATTAACAAGTTTTGGTAAGTCAATACATGTATTCTTCTTGTTTAACGTTATTTATGGAGCGCTATTGATTCAACGCCGGTGACGTCAAACATGTTTGTTGCAATACTTTTGCCACGTCACTGTAGCTGTAAGATGAAGATGTCCGACCTGTGTTCCGAGTTTACATTGTGTTACAGCGACACCAACGTAGAGACACCCGGGAAGACGCCGACCTCCTTGACGCCAACAAGGAGGGGAACCTTGGGGGAGGTGAAGTTCTTCCTGGACACAGGTCGGACTGACGTCAACTCTAGAAGAGTGTTCGGGGGGACACCGGTGATGGCGGTAGCACGGTGGGGTCACAGAGATGTGGTGGAGCTCCTTGTGGGTAGAGGGGCTGATGTGTCACTGGTGGACGATGACGGTAGCAACATCTTTCACTAGTGAGGGGAGGAGACAGGGAGAGAGTGGAGTTTTGTCCTGTCTCAGAAAGTGGTAGACATCAACTCTAGGAACAAAAGGGGCAGAGGGGCCGACGTGGCGAGACGCAAGGAACTCCTGGAGTCACGTGGTTTTCCCTGAAGCCAATGTAGTGTTAACGTCGATGTAGACGGTGATGGAGGACATGTCGTTACTGACACTGACGTGGTGTGTCATTCCTCGTCGTCGCGTTATTTATACTTCAGTGTCAAGGTGAGAATATTTGTTTAGGAGAAGTAAAACGTCCTCAAACATTTAAAAACAATTTTGTCATTTGTTGTTTTTTTACCTTCGCATAATCAGGTGACATTATTTTTCACTGAGTGTAAATATTGATGATATACGGACGATATGTGAACTCCACATGTATATCTCTGTTTAATTAGGTGTCATAAGTTAATAATTAAATATGAAACAGACAACAACAAACTGTTTGTGTGCATTATTTGGGGGGGGGGCATTTATATGTTTTAAAGAACCTGGTCTAGAAGTTTAACTTAAGCTTCAGCTGGTATATCGATGATTTGATATCGTTCAATAGCCATCAAATAGCCAACTGACTTCCACTGAATTACCCACCTGAATTTGCAATGAAGGAGCCACGTGAGACCGCCTCAACTGTTTCATGTTTAGATCTATCAATAAAAATTAGAGTGACAAAAATCCCTAAAGGGATGATTTCAGCTTCCCAATAGTCAACTTTAAGTTCATGTCGAACAATATTCCAACAGCTCCAGCCTCTGATGTTTACATTTCACAACATTTGAGGTACAATTTGTCGTAACTGGCGATTGGGTGTTAGTAAACCCTACCACAGTTACCTATTAATTATGGTCGTTCCACATTGTCGGGGAGATGGTAGCTCTGGCGCTCCACTCGCTTGGTCCGTTGCAGGACGCTAAGTCAAGGAGTGAGGGTTCTGACGACCGTGACTCCTAATTAACCACATAACAGTCATGTACTGGCACACATACATTCAAAGAGAAACGCAACAACAAGTTTATACTCACATAGTTTTTACTCAGTCTCAGTCCATCTCTACAACTTCAACATCAGACAAGGCAGGTTCGTACCACACGAGGCAACTGAGTGGCGTGGACTGGCTTCCGTCACTACAAAAGCGCGCACCACTCACTCAGTGCCCAACCTATCTTTTTATATGGTTCGAGCCTGGCCTGATCTTGATCACATGTTTCAACTAATCATTTTGATTCGGTTAGCCTGTATCCGACCTTGCACTCATGAATATTACGATTGGAAAAGTACCGGTAAAATCATTCGGTTACTCATCCCTTTTGTTTGTTTCAATATAAGATTAATCTGTTATGTCTTTCACAACAAATGTGTTCTGTCTCTCTTTCCATAGCCTACGGCTAAACGCCATTGTATGGAAACTTTCCGTCTCCATACCATGCCTAACCGTTATGACTCATGAACAAACTGCAAATCTAAATGCGAATCTGATATAATTCTCTCATGGTTTTGGGGATGAATTTTTACCTTATAACATCCTCCGCCTGTGGACAAGAGCTGCCCACAGCTCGGATACATTAAACATGAGCACAGGTCAGATATGTTAAAGTTAAACACATTGAACACCATCGAAGCAAAACAGGATCGGTAATTTCTGAGAGGAAATGATAACCCATTTCAAACTTTCGAAATATTCGGAAAAACTCGAGGACACTGTACCTTAAAAAAACGAGCATGCCAAGGAATAAGAGAATGATCCTATGTTACTTCGGGGAACCACAAAGCATATACATCATATATATTATAAGATGAAAACACAACAATGAATTAAAGTCAATATTAAATGTGAAAAAAGTTCATAAGTCTCTGGTCCCATCGAATAAACTGGCACACGTGTACTGGAAAAGTCATATTCTGATTGTCACTGGATATACACTGAACGCTGTTCACTCTGTGCGAGGCCACAACAAAATTAATGTCTGAACACAGGGCCGTGTATCACACAGCATAGTTCTTGGCTTGGTCATCAAAGTGAGGAGACGAAATGTTCTGCACACTGCGAGAGTGAGCTCTGTATTTTCACTGATGATGTACCCTGTTGCTTTCACAACTTGGAGGGGGGGACATCGTAGAGGTCTTGCAGTGTCTATCGTCAATACTGCGCCTTCATGGGCGGTGTTCAGCGTCGCAACCCTTGTGATAGCGTTCGCCGGTAACAGCAAGTGTGGAGCCAGATAATCGATGTGGCGTGGACCAGACGACAGCAAGGGAGGAGCTAATCTGTTCTCCCGTCTGAATGGAGGTCCGGCCATTAATCTACAACACTTGAAACGAGTGTTAAACCACGGCGAATATAATTAGTATTATAATATACATTAGATACGACAGCAATACATGTTAAAACATGACGCTCAAATAAATGGCAACCTGTGTACAGATCACAGTAGACAATTACAGCATTCTTGACTGCCGACTGCGTGCCGAAAACAATTTGAGTCCATTATGTTGCATGAATATTCTCTGATACCTATGTAACATGGCATCAATAAATAGGAATCAAATGTTATTTTAACCATGGACGACATCTGTAATACCTGTAATAGGTTAAATAGGTGCAAGTTACTCACAACATTCAGTAAATGCTTTGCAGTTTAAAACAACAGGAACGAACAACATAGATAAATATGGGATGGACTGAAAGTATACATTGAGAACACGGATAAGAACATTTCCTAACAAGTAACATTGAAGAGAATCCACAGTAGAATTATGTAATATAAATAACTTCCATCTATCCGTAATGTATGAGACATCAATTCCGAATACAGGTATTGTCTCTATAGAAAAGTTATACAATATTGTCGTAAGAATGAATATTAATATATGACTGAACATTCACTTTGTGACTTGGTAATTATATAGGAGGGAAGAGCACGATGATCTCTACTGTTAAAACATTTAACAAAATATTACTATAACTTTAAAACATGGAGTATTTATCGAAAACTATCGCTTTTCCAATTCTAAACCATTGTGTAGACTCAAATGGTCAATGTACCAAATGACAAGTGTTCTAACACTGAAAAATGACTGGTCGTTAAAAGTTTGTTGAACTCCATTATCAAGATTAGGTGCTGATTTCGTCTTCTGCACAATGCATTTACACGGTGACAGTCAACCATTATAAGACAACGGTTGAATTCGTCATCGACACAAATACACTTTGCTGCGACCGTTATATCTGGCATTTGGCGGAGAACAAAAGCTTTCTATTGCTAATAGGATAACCGGGGTCTGCCGTCTGATTTAAGGGTACGGTTGTAATGCCATAATGTTGTAAAACCATAAAAAAAAACTTGCTATAGTTGGAAGGAATTGTTTGAATTGAAACGCTTTTCACCAACTGATAACACTTGTTCCAGACATATATATATATGTAGATGGGGTTTGAATTGGGGCTATCGAACAGTAAATAATATGTAATGAAAACTCGTTGAATACGAAAGTTAGTCAAAAATTTGCAGCTGACAACGTGAGGTCACGGGTTCAGAGATAAAATTGTGACAGAACAATCTCATGACAAGAATTCGTCAAATGTAAAACTAAGGTCGTAACCGGTCGATTGAACTTTTTCACTTTGCCAAGAAGTAAAATAAACACCAGAAATACTGTCGATATGAGGAAAACATCCATTGAAATAGTTGATTTAATCAAAGACATAAAAGATGGCTGGGGATAGTTCGGAGGGGTGGTTGTGTGGTATGCTTTCCAATCTGTCAAACCATTACTCGGGGAACCTGCTGTAAGTAACGTTAAAGCCAAAAATAGGCGTCTAACTTTTAACCATAAATACATAACCAGTATAAATAGAAATAAGGACAAACCTGCGGCAAAACTAGCCGTTAAATGATAGGGCTTGGTTAAGGACCCATCCAAAGCAGACGATGGAAGGGAATCCATCCAATTATGTTCAATTAAATTATCCGAAATAATTTGTGCCTTTTTCATACGCTTGGAAATAAGGCATAAATCAACTTGAAATTTCTTGTCCTTTTTCCGAATGTCATCGAAAACTTTATCATCGATTAATAAATGTGGGATTTTGAACGCAGAATCTTCTAAAAGAGGCTGTAAAGTTTCGAAAGGTTTCAGTGCGGATGAATTGAAAAATTCCGATAAGAGTAGAAGATTGGGTGGATACAATTTTGAAGATGTTGACTTTATTTCACAGTGATGAATTCTCATGTCTATGTCGAATTCATCCAGTTTCAACGCACAGTGGCAAGGAATTTTAAATATACAAATCTGACAAGCTGGACGCTTCTCAATGCGACCATTGCAAGTTAATATAATAGTTTTTATGCCACTGAGCAAAACAAGGCCTGGTTCGATTTCGAGAGCCATCGAACGAAGCCCGTTCAATTTAAATTTAACATCACACAAGGATTTAATTCCTGGTGCGTCCTGATTAAACAGAGCAAGTGCGCAGGTGAGAACAGTGTTTGGTTTGGGGCTAAGAAAATTGGGCAATGTTTTCGTGTTCACCAAAACATGTTTGAAAATCCCTGGTAGAAAATTCAATATACTGATCTTTCGCTTCCGAAACTGCCAAATAATCAGGTAAATTCATGAGCTGAAAAACATGTATAAACTTGATTGAGTAATTGGTAAGCCAAATGAATTGATTCGATATACATCGAGGAGAGTTGAATGAGTTTGGATAGGGACAATGAGCGAAATTAAAATTGAATCTCCAGTTCTAGAACAATGAACAGTGCGTTCCCAATAATAATAGCCTGGATCCTTGTGAGCAACGTGAAACAACGGATATTCTGTGTTGAGACGTTTTTGAATCATATGTAGAGCTTTCTTTACTTCCGTGACTGGGAGCAAAGATGGACTCAAACGTTGGTTAACTAATTGCTGTATTCCAAGATACATTTCATCAATTTCCTGTGGAATAGTCGTCAAAAATGTCAGACGATCTAGCAAAATTTTCATAGAAATGAAAATACTTTTTTCTACATCTTGTACCTGTTCAGCGACCTGAGAAATGTCCCTATGATTCGTTTCAATACCTGTAAGAGCGGAAGAAATACTGTCATTGGTTTTAGCTATAAATGACGACATTTGACGAACTTGCACTTGTACAACGCGATAAGTATTAGTTACATGCATTGATAATTGTTTGACATACTGCGCCAGCCGTTCTACATCTTCGACTGTAGCAGTACCAACAATTGAACGACTAATGGATCCGATAAATGGAAGAATTGCCCGTCTCGTGCGTGAATCCTTTTGAAAAGTGTTAATATGCGGAATTAATATTTTAATGTCCTTACTGACATTCGTCCAATACACGAGCAATTCTTGTTCCGCTTTCTTTATATATCCATCTATAGCATTCACAGAATAACAATGTTACGCGTGCGTTTTACAAAACTGTTGGTAATGTGGTTTATTACCCATTTCAGACAAATCTATTTATTTTGTGAAATGTCGATACGTGACGTATGGATAAATACAACTCCCCATGGAAGTCGAAATTCTGTATGGACAGAATTAACTTGATTCTGGATGCTGACAAGCGCTATCAGCGTGAACAAGACCCAAACTGGTCGAAGGAAACTCCTGGATTCTAAAATTCAAAGAACGTGATTATGAACATAAATAGAAACTTGAAATGAAATCATATACTTCATCAATATTCTTATGAAAAGTTTCCGTCCATGTAAAACTGCATTCATATGACGTCTTCTCCTGTCAATTGAAACTGACTGTATTAAACATATGATAACAATTGTCACATGCAGGTAATGGTAGTTTCACACTAGTATTCGTGCGAATAAACAACATTCAACAATAGTAGTAAATTCTCATCAACCTGTTTCATCAGAAGATTTCTCACCACGGAACATATATGTATCGGTACGGTATAACCATTGAACACTGAATTCTCTTGACTTCCTTTCGAGTCATGTAACTGTAATTCATTGTTCGTCATCGTATTTCATTGAATACCATTGTATTTGTATGTATGTCGTATCATCATCGTCAGATCTCTTTGGATCGTAGTTCATTTCTTTTTCTCGTATATACACGCATAGCGAAACGCTTTGTAATGGTCCGCGAATATGTACAACGTCCCTTTTGGACAGCGCGACCTGTAACCTTCCCGTAGAAGTAGTATGAATATGTATAACCTGACCCAAACATTTTGGTCAGTAACCCGGGAATGTATTCTTCAAGTAGTAGTACGCAACGTGACCCAAACCTTCGCAGCGTTTGGTCACTAACCCGTGAATATGAATACATTTTTCAATATCAACCAACACGTGACTGTATGCAGTCGAAGTATTCTGAATATATTCAACAAGACATTTGACAAGAAACAATACACAGTTCAACATATATGCACACTTCTATTTCCTTGTAACCTGGTGACAATTGAATCATGTAACATCGTAAAGAAGGATCTATAGCATGGGCTAGCACCATGCGTATAGCATCATATAGTAATAATCCTGAAATAAAACACATGCAAAAATCAATTTGTGGGTGATCAGTCCTCAGCATGATATTTGCAGTGTCGTAACTAAAAAGGTAACGAATTATAACAATTTGTCAAAAACAATATTTCAAATATTTTGTTAAAAATTCTAACGCTTTCGTTTCTCATTTAACGACTTCAGTATCATATAATCATAGGTCTCCTTCAGGGATTTTGGATTCGTGATTATCTGTAACCACATGCAAAGTGCAGTTACCTCATGTAAAGTGCAGTTCTCCTAGTAAATCCTGTAGTATTTCTTTCCACTGAGTATTCTACGCGCTCGCATCCATTTTGCTATGCAAAGTATTCCTGTATATCCAAGGTGACTTTTTATGCCTGTCAGATGTTAACGCCTGGGAAATGGGGGTTATGATGTCTGTATCCGTACCAGATTTATCCAATTTATTAATTTGATTGTAATGACCGACAACTGGAAATGGGTTAGTTGGCCTGTGTCTGCGGTTGACAAACCGCCTAAGCCGTTTAGCATGACCAGGAACTTTCAGTCGTTTACGATTGTCATAACGTGGTCGTTTGCACGTACACGGTGGCAATTGATTGGACTCGTCAAATTGTCTGTTTGATGTGGAGTAATCTCCTGTCGGGACAGCGGTTACCCTAAGTGAGCTGTCATCATACAAGTCTGATGACAAATCTGTTGCGATTGGAATCGATATTTGGTTGTTGTTATCCGACTGGGGAAGACCACTGTCTGAATTCGGTGAACATTCTGAATACGGAAAGCTTGACAGAATCTCTGTGGGATGCCAGTGTTTGCCCGGTCGATACTGAACTGTAAAACCTAGGCAGTGTTCCTTATTTGATGGGGGAGCAATTGTGACATTTTGCCGCGAGCGAGCAGGAATTTGTTCTGACTTCGTGGGGATTGATTGTTTACCAGCAACAGGTGGTAATAAAGTACCATTCGCCCTCATTGGAACAACTGTTGAACCATTTTGAATAGCCAAAGTATAAGATTGAAAATTCATGACAGTCTTTTGACTTATCAAGAAATCTAATCCTAAAATCATGGGAGACTCAAAATTTGCAACAACTAGAAAACATTGTTCTGTTTGAAAATCACCAATAGTGATGGGAAGTACAATTTGTCCTAATACTGGCATTATATTTTGACTTATCCCTTGAATAGATGGCACATCTGACTTTTGAATAGGGATTTTTTTCCATAGGCCTGAACCATTGAAAACTTCTAGGCTTAAAACACTAGAACCAGCGCCTGAATCTACAATTGTTGGAACTAACTTTTCTCCCAAAACAACATGAATTGTATTAAGCCTGTTGTCGCTTTCAAATGTAGTCTGCGAAACTTTAGATTTCGGCTGTTTGTAACGAGGAGAATTACAAACTTGTGATTTTAAATAAGTATGGTCGAACGTTTGTTCAGCACAATGGGAAAATTTCCTGCGTGGTCTTGACTGTAATTGCTATCTGCTAGTTGGGTTACCTGACTGGTACCTAGCCCTGCATACTCGTTGAAAATGTCCTATCTTGTGACAAAAATGACACTGAACATTCCGTGCGGGACAGAAATCAGAATGAGAAAAATCATACTCACCACCGCATCTGTAACACTGCCTTCCACGGGCCATGTTGTGTCCTTGAATTGGGTCTGTCCATTGAGGAGTGGGCTGCCACGGTCGATCTGTATACCTGGATTGTCTGGGGAACTGGGGACGTTGATTCTGTCGGGACTCATAAGTATTGATCTGTGACGATACCGGAGCGAGTTTTGCCGAAAGTTCAGCAATCTGTAATCTCAGCGTATCTATTGCTAGCATAACGTTTGTACTGTCTTCAGACTGGGGAATGACCGATCTAGCCAGTCGCGCAAATGAGACTGCCTCGTTTAGCACAGTTGGTTGTTTCATTAACACATGTCGCCTGGTATTGTCATCTAATCCCCGAACAAAAGCGTCCATTAAATCTGTGTCTGATTTTCCTAACAAGCTAGCCGTTTCGGTCAAGTCTGCCAAATAAGTATCTATAGCTTCCTTAGGGGAAAGCTTTCGACTCACAAAAGTTTCCAAAAGGGCCCAACGGTCAGTCGGATGGACATACTTGTCCTTGAACAATTTCTCAATCTCATCAAAACGGACTATTTCTTCCTCTGCCGATTCTATCAGATCTTTGTACCATAGATACGCCGCGTCCTTTAAAAACAGTGGGAAAACTTCAATTTTCTGTGCATCAGTCCACCTTTTAAAGTTACCAAAATGAGTGAAACGGTCAAGCCACTCGGCAGCATGAGACGTGTCCCTACCTGTGAAATGTTCTGGCATTAAAGTGGAGTCACCCATATTGAAGTCAGGGGCAGAATAAGAACTATTGACAGATGATGACAAATCTAAAGAGGACAGATCAGGGAGACCGGCCTGGTGCTGAAGTTCGTTACTGAAAAGTGACAAGTCTAAATCCTCCAGGGAAAGAGATAGAAAGAGGTCTCGAGGAGCAGATAGAGGCTGAAACGGTGGTTGTATTATGCCAAGTCGGACTGGATTAGTAAAAATGTTAGACGTAATGGGACGAGATTGGACCAGACTGTCATAGGACGTAGATGAATCTGAATCATTTCCACGAGGCATTACAAAAATTCCAAATATCCTGAAGGAAAACTGCAGATAACATATCCCAGCCGTGAAAAAGGAACCTACCGTCAAACGTCAATGCAAGGGAACAAAAGGGTAGGAACGACCATAAGAAAAACAGCTAAAGGGATCGTCTTAAACATTTTGTTCAAGAAGAACCCGCAATCTCCACCATGTCGTAACTGGCGATTGGGTGTTAGTAAACCCTACCACAGTTACCTATTAATTATGGTCGTTCCACATTGTCGGGGAGATGGTAGCTCTGGCGCTCCACTCGCATGGTCCGTTGCAGGACGCTAAGTCAAGGAGTGAGGGTTCTGACGACCGTGACTCCTAATTAACCACATAACAGTCATGTACTGGCACACATACATTCAAAGATAAACGCAACAACAAGTTTATACTCACATAGTTTTTACTCAGTCTCAGTCCATCTCTACAACTTCAACATCAGACAAGGCAGGTTCGTACCACACGAGGCAACTGAGTGGCGTGGACTGGCTTCCGTCACTACAAAAGCGCGCACCACTCACTCAGTGCCCAACCTATCTTTTTATATGGTTCGAGCCTGGCCTGATCTTGATCACATGTTTCAACTAATCATTTTGATTCGGTTAGCCTGTATCCGACCTTGCACTCATGAATATTACGATTGGAAAAGTACCGGTAAAAATCATTCGGTTACTCATCCCTTTTGTTTGTTTCAATATAAGATTAATCTGTTATGTCTTTCACAACAAATGTGTTCTGTCTCTCTTTCCATAGCCTACGGCTAAACGCCATTGTATGGAAACTTTCCGTCTCCATACCATGCCTAACCGTTATGACTCATGAACAAACTGCAAATCTAAATGCGAATCTGATATAATTCTCTCATGGTTTTGGGGATGAATTTTTACCTTATAACACTCCTTTTAACCAAGATTTCAATGAGCGTCATGTCATCTATTTTAAACAGTGTATCTATTTCAAACAGTTTCCAACATGAACACATACTCCTCTCAGAATTCGACCAAGGTGAGATGATAAGAAACAGTGAAACAGCAATTAAGTGAGTCCACTTTCATCCTTTGACCACACCTCAAGGAGACAAACAACACCATAGCTTCTATAAAGGCGTGTTAGACAGGTGTACACCCAGCCAAGTTCCAAGTCATTGTTCTGATGTCTGTTGATGGACTGCCCCCAACTACCCACCTTCTCTGTGTTTACCTAAATATCTTTTATTAGCAATAATTACTATGTTTGATTTCGCCAAGTCTCACTAAATACAAGGATATAGGATATTTACCATGACAGAACACTCTCGTGTCATAACATCTGTGTCCTATAACGACCTCATGCCTCAAACTTTGAGCATACTCTCGCACTTGTTGACGTCATGTTAATGAGTTGTTCCCTGAAATGTAGCTTGGCAGTGCAGCTAAATACAGTGGTCGGACGATCGTACCCAAAATACGGCGAGATACGCCAGTCGGTTTTAGATCGTAAGTAGAGAAATTCGACGTGTTGATTGTAACAACGGTCAGCAATAATTTACTACACGCACGCGCACCTCGTGTTCATGAAATTGACTAGACTGGTTGTGTTCAGGGAATCACCAATATTTAGATATGGTAGATATGTTTAAAGCTTGTAATTGGATACTTTTATGATTGTAAATACTGTTGATAGCTCGGGTAAGAAACTCGCGGTCTTGTTTACTCACCACATCTACCAATAAGCAGGATTCTTATTCAAAAGTAAATAACATGATATTATTTAATTGTTAAATACTCTAAGATTTTCAGTTTACGTTTTGAAACAGCTACCCCCCGCAATCCAACAATATAACCCCAGAAGAATCAGTCTACTTAAGACGAAAGAAGAATAAAGGCAGCATATAAAAACACATATTCCGCAACTGAAACAACCCGTGGAGATCCGGGTTAAAATTTGTCTTCAGCAAACCATGCTTGTCGTAAGAGCCTACAAACGGATTCGGTCATCTTATCCCTATCGCTTAGATCGAGGCTCCTGATGTCAATCACTGGATTGTCTGGACAAGAATCGATTATTTACAGACCGCGGTCACATAGCTGGAAGATTGCTGAGTGCCGCGTTATACAACAGAGTTACTGAAACATCAGGCGATAGGACAAGTCAAGGGAGATAAATCGTGTATGGTTCGCCGCTTTGGACTGATGAGGAGTCGTAAAATCTTCAAGACCGCATCACATAAGATGTTGTCAAGTCAACGGTTGCCGTTATTTGTGAGCAAGTGAGCGTTAAGAGAAAGTGAGTTCTGGATGAAAAACAATACGCTGAAATACACAAAAAGCATTTGACTAAACTCTGTCGCAGTTGTAGTAGCAGTAGTATAGATCAGAGAGAATATTGTGGCAACGGACGGGACCTCTTCTTCATTAGTGGCAACCTCAGCGACCAGACCTACACGGATGACGTCCTTCAAACCATGCTGGGTCCATTCCTACGTCGCCTTGTGCACGTCATGTATTGTAATATACTCATACATCTAATATCGCCCATATTCAAAACAAAACTGGAGATGGAACATGTCCTGTCGTATAATTGTTAGCCACAATCAAACACGGTGTATACTTTCTTTAGATCACACCACAGGACAAGTTACACTAGGATAGCACCACGATTACCATTAGAACAGTTACAATACACTCAAGGATAGCACCACGATTAACATTAGGACAGTTACAATACACTCTAAAATAGCACCACGATTAACATTAGAACAGTTACAATACACTCTAGGATAGCACCACGATTAACATTAGGACAGTTACAATACACTCTAGGATAGCACCACGATTAACATTGGGACAGTTACAATACCCTCTATGATAGCACCACGATTCGCATTAGAACAGTTACAATACACTCTAGGATAGCACCACGATTAACATTAGGACAGTTACAATACACTCAAGGATAGCACCACGATTAACATTAGGACAGTTACAATACACTCTAGGATAGCACCATTAGAACAGTTACAATACATTCTAGGATAGCACCACGATTAACATTAGGACAGTTATAATACACTCTAGGATAGCACCACGATTAACATTGGGACAGTTACAATACCCTCTATGATAGCACCACGATTCGCATTAGAACAGTTACAATACACTCTAGGATAGCACCACGATTAACATTAGGACAGTTACAATACACTCAAGGATAGCACCACGATTAACATTAGGACAGTTACAATACACTCTAGGATAGCACCACGATTAACATTAGGACAGTTACAATACACTCAAGGATAGCACCACGATTAACATTAGGACAGTTACAATACACTCTAGGATAGCACCACGATTAACATTGGGACAGTTACAATACCCTCTATGATAGCACCACGATTCGCATTAGAACAGTTACAATACACTCTAGGATAGCACCACGATTAACATTGGGACAGTTACAATACACTCTAGGATAGCACCACGATTAACATTAGGACAGTTACAATACACTCTAGGATAGCACCACGATTAACATTAGAACACTTACAATACACTCTAGGATAGCACCACGATTAACATTAGGACAGTTACAATACACTCAAGGATAGCACCACGATTAACATTAGGACAGTTACAATACACTCAAGGATAGCACCACGATTAACATTAGGACAGTTACAATACACTCTAGGATAGCACCACGATTAACATTAGAACAGTTACAATACATTCTAGGATAGCACCACGATTAACATTAGGACAGTTATAATACACTCTAGGATAGCACCACGATTAACATTGAGACAGTTACAATACACTCTAGGATAGCACCACGATTCGCATTAGAACAGTTACAATACACTCTATGATAGCACCACGATTAACATTGGGACAGTTACAATACACTCTAGGATAGCACCACGATTAACATTGAGACAGTTACAATACACTCTATGATAGCACCACGATTCGCATTAGAACAGTTACAATACACTCTATGATAGCACCACGATTAACATTGGGACAGTTACAATACACTCTAGGATAGCACCACGATTAACATTGGGACAGTTACAATACATTCTAGGATAGCACCACGATTTACATTAGGACAGTTACAATACTCTCTAGGATAGCACCACGATTAACATTAGAACAGTTACAATACACTCTAGGATAGCACCACGATTAACATTAAGACAGTTACAATACACTCTAGGATAGCACCACGATTAACATTAGGACAGTTACAATACACTCTAGGATAGCACCACGATTAACATTGGGACAGTTACAATACACTCTGTGATAGCACCACGATTAACATTAGGACAGTTACAATACACTCTAGGATAGCACCACGATTAACATTAGGACAGTTACAATACACTCTAGGATAGCACCACGATTAACATTGGGACAGTTACAATACACTCTAGGATAGCACCACGATTCGCATTAGAACAGTTACAATGCACTCTAGGATAGCACCACGATTTACATTAAGACAGTTACAATACACTCTAGGATAGCACCACGATTAACATTAGGACAAATACAATACACTCTAGGATAGCATTGCACTACAAATGCACACTCTTAGATAGCGCTACGATACACATATGGATGGTACTACGATACGCTCTTACTGATAGTACAATATTGTTTATTCATTGAAGTCAAAGGCCACAGGCCCATAGTACGTGCATTAACCGCACATACATATTTTGTTATACCTCAATATATTTCACAAGGTAGTACTATAGTGATACACAATGCACGATAATAACATTATTGGTGTACCGATGGGTAAAGTTTCAATGCTAGAAATACATACTTACTTAAATTTAGCAGTGTTTGAGGACATGTGGAATTGATGAGATTTACAAATGCTGCAACAGAAGGATGTTCATGGTATGCAGGGTGAATATATGATTTTCGTAGATTTGAAAAGGCTTTGCATACAAGTAAGAAATGGAATTCATTCTCAACTACATCTATTCCGTAGCGGCTACAATGTAGCGGCTACAATAATCTGCTTTCCTCATCTATTCCAAGTCTTCGTCCAAGTTCAATCCTTAGGTAGTTGCATCCGCATGTAAATCTTTATAAGTACATAGTACTGATAGTACATAGCTCTGGAAGGTACTACAGTGTTGGACAACACTAAGGCCCTTTCCACTAGATAATCTTCTAGAATCTCCATCACTGTCTGTATTGCTCTAGTCACTGCTTTTGTATGATACTGACTTTGAATATGGACTGACG